ATTTTATAATCTTTAAAATTCTCTTTAGAGACAGAGGCAGAGAGACAGAGAGAGAAAGAGAGAGAGAGAGAGAGAGAAGTAAACAAAAAGGAGAGAGAGATAAAAAAAAATGGGAGAAAGAGAGAAAACAAAGAAAGGCAGGGAGAATGAGAGAGAGAGAGAGAGAGGAAAAAGTGAAAGAGAGGAAGAGGGAACCAAAGAGGGAGGTAAAAGCAACATGAGGAGGAAAAAAAAAGAAATGGGAGAAAAGGCAGAAGAAGAAATAGAAACAGAAGAAGAAGAAGAATATTAATGGTAATTATAAGTTGGAAATGTCAAAAAGATTTGTAAACAAATTCCTTTAAATAAAAAAATTAAGGTAGAAAAATGATAGCAATCTTGATAAATATACACTGTCGCTCATAAAGGTGGAAAATTTGTTTTTATTCCAATTTATGGAATTATTTTAAAAATAATTAAAAAATAATAGATCTAGATAATAGTATACATTCTCAGATTTTATTGAATAATAATTTGCCAATGTGTGTTTTGCGTGACTGCTAAAGCATGTGTATGCTACTATGCTTATCAACTAGGGGACCTATGACCTTAAGTCATAAATGACAGTAATGAGGATTAATGCCCCACTAAAGGGCACTAACATATCACATCGACACGGTTTTGATCCTGGGGCCTCACAGTTACGAGGCCATTGCTTTTGTCACTGAACCATGACTGTACGCAGCGGGGGCTAGGGTAGGGGGCAGTTTGAGCCATAATGCATGGCCGTCCAGAGGATTTTTTTATAATGGGGACCGGGGTAAAATGTTGCAATTTTCCGCCAACAAGTTGTGGATCGGGGTGGGGGTGGGGCAAAATGCCCTTGCCTCCGCCCGCCCCGCTAAATAAAAAGAGAGAAAGAAGGAAACAAAAGGAGAGCTAAAAGGGACCAACAAAAAAAGGTGAAAAGAAGGGGAAATAGATCATTTGCAGTTAATCCCGCCAACAACGTGTGGAAAAGGGTGGGGTCGAAATGACCTTCCCTCCCCCTTCACCCCCATCAAACCTTAAAGAGAGAGAAGGAAGGGAAGGAAAAGGGAAAAAAGGAGAGAAAGGGAAAGAAAAAAAGAGAAATAAGAAACTTAGGGGAGATCAGTTTCGATGTTTCCGCCAACAAAGTTCAGATCGGGGGGGGGGGGGGGCACTGGCGTATTGATCGGGGAGGGGGCTCGGGGGAAATAAACTTTAAACGTGGTTTATTTCTAATTCCATAACGGTGGTTTACACATTATGCTGAAATGACATAATTTTCCAAAATTTTTCCTCATTCTTTAGTAAATTATACTTTTTTATGCGTTTGTAAATTAACAGCCAGGCAAGAAATATGCTTCTTGAGATGCCTACATGTCAGGGCCCGCGGAACGGCGGGGATCGGGAGCCTCCAGCTCCCCTATTTCTTTTGGAAAAGCATTTTAAAGAGAAATAGAGAGAAAGAGAGCAAGAAAGAAAGAATAGTTAACTACCAGTGTCACAACAAAATAAAGTATCAAAAATTGCTCATCTGACCGTAATTTAACGCCTAAAACCCTTGATCTTCTGGGGGCTCCGCCAGCTGGACCTCACGCCAATCAGTGTCATGCCAGTGTCACAAATAAAGTATTAAAATATGTTCATCTGACCGTAATCAAATGCCTGAACCCCTGAGATTCAGGGGTTTCGGCACCCTCGACCCCACCAGGGGCCCTAAGGCGGCTCCTAAATGCTTATCTGACCGTAATTTGCCTTCAACCCATGAGTTTCCGGGGGCGGACAAGGTATCAACAGATGTTCATCTGACCGCAGGCGCGTAACCAGGGTGGCAGTGGGGGCGGCCCCCCCCCCCCAAAAAAAAATACGCCGGCCAAAAAAAGAGAGGAGAGAAAAGAAAAAGGACGTATGAAGAAAAAGGAGCAGACAAAAAACATTTTTGATATTCAGACAAGGATTAAGAGTCGAAAACGGTACAACGAATCGTCTTCTTTCTCTAATAATTAAATTAAATGTAAATGCTTTGCGCAGGTGGTGGGGTAACTGAATTTAGACAAGGATTAAGAGTCGAGAAAGCTTACAACGAATCGCCTTCTTTCTCTAATGATTTAATGAAACGTAAATGCTTCCACGCTTCGCGCGGGAGGGGGAGAGGAAAACTGTATTCAGACGAGGATCAAAATTCGAGAACAGTACAACGAATCGTCTTCTTTCTCTAATGATTTAATGAAACGTACAAGCTTCCGAGCTTTGCGTGGTAGGGGGGGGGGGGTGAATGTAGACGAGGATTATTTTCGAGAAAGGCACAACGAATCGTCTTTTTTTTCTAATAATTAAAGTAAATGCCAAAGCTTCCGTGCTTCGCGCAGGAGGTGGGGTAACTTAATTTAGACAAGGATTAAGAGTCGATAACGGTACAACGAATTCCAAACCGCTTTATAATCAGACGGGTACATTTTGTTAAGAAACATTCAAAGTGCAATTTGACGAATTTACGCAACTGAAACTAAATGAGTAATTTTTTTGGTTTGTATTCTTTATTGTTTATACTTCTTTCATGTTTACATATTGTGCATTCTATAATTCTACTAATCATCATTCACGTGTAATAATGTGCTAGAAATCCCTAGCGCATATGGTAATGTATTAAAGATAAGCTTGAGTTCTGGTAATGATAGAAATACTATTATCACAGAACCCAACAAAACTTACACTAAATGTTCAAGAATACAAATAAATGACACATGCCAAACGATTTCGGTAGAAAAAGGTATAGGGGCTGAGTAATGAGCATAGAAAGATGAAGAAATCAAGGTAAGGCCAGACACCATGTGCTTATATCACAGGTAACTATGTGCAAATGAGAGTTGTGGCTTTTATTTTATGGAGATGATTTCTAGCAAGCTTTTGTAAGTTTTTATTTTTATTTTACTGGTTTAAACAATCAAGATCTACCGCAGGATAAACAATCCAAAATGAATTATAGCCATGTTTTCATACATACGCTGCCCATATTTCCAGAGCTCAAGATTAGCTTCAATGCTGACTTGGTTTGCATTACATAATATACTAAACAATTTCTACTTCTACTATTTAAATTTTTACCTAAAAATGCACCCTTACATAACACAGTGCTTTCATGTTGGTTTTAATGTACATGGACTATGTTTATGTTCGCAACTTAGTACATTTTCGTAATAGACAATTCTTCGTTCACATCCTAACAAATTATCGTTGACATATTAACCAGCTTGACTTCCACTGCTTCGTAGAAGTTGTATTGGTGTAGTAGAAGTAGTAATACTAGTAGTCATGGTATTAATTAGAAGGAGGAGTAGTAAATGGTATTAGTAGGGGTCGTAGTAATACTAGTAGTCATGGTATTAGTAGGAGGAGTAGTGGTAATACTAGTAGTCATGGTATTAGTAGGAGTAGTGGTAATACTAGTAGTCACGGTATCAGTAGGTGGAGTAGTATAGTAGTCATGGTATCAGTAGGAGGAGTCGTAGTAATAATAGTAGTCATGGTAGTATGAGGAGTCGTAGTAATAATACTAGTAGTCATGGTATTAGTAGTAGGAATCGCAGTAATACTAGTAGTCATGGTATTGATTAGAAGGAGGAGTAGTAAATGGTATTAGTAGGGGTCGTAGTAATACTAGTAGTTATGGTATTAGTAGGAGGAGTAGTGGTAATACTAGTAGTCATGGTATTAGTAGGAGTAGTGGTAATACTAGTAGTCACGGTATTAGTAGGTGGAGTAGTATAGTAGTCATGGTATCAGTAGGAGGAGTCGTAGTAATACTAGTAGTCATGGTAGTATGAGGAGTCGTAGTAATAATACTAGTAGTCATGGTATTAGTAAGAGGAATCGCAGTAATACTAGTAGTCATGGTATTAGTAGGAGGAGTCATAGTAATAATACTAATAGTCATGGTATTAGTAGGAGTAGTAGTATAGTAGTAGTAGTAGTAGTAGTGATAATAATATTAATAATATTAATATTTTGATAACAATTATAATGATAATAATGATAGTAGTAATAGATAATAATAATTGAGTATTAATTAGTTCTTGTCCACAAGTGCTGAAATAACTATTTAAACAGCAATAACACTATCAATACAGACAAAAAGTACAGTATAATATAATATTTCTCCTACCGATATCTCAAAACCTGATTAACATAATGGAATATAGTTACCTTCGTACTTTAAGGCATACGTGTATATACATGACTCAATACATTTTCTTTTGTAATTGTACCTGCATCGAATCATTTAAAACATATCTTATATTTCTAAAATCGTATTCATCAGATACTTCTGCAGATAAAAAAAAACAATACAATTTTTCAAAAATAATATCATCTTTTGTTGCTCCGTGATGTGAAAAATTGTTTATACGTCAATCAAATTTTTCAGAAAATGACAGTGCTGTAGAAACAAACTTCCACAAAGGAAGAAGATTAGTATATATAAATAGATTTAATGGAACGTATCCCATTCACTGACTTTCATGTAGTGGTGGGACGTCAGGTAAAGTCTGCTGGAATACAACTACTTGTACCCAAATTTGTCAGACTTCTGCAATTCATAGTATTTTAAAATTAATCTTTGTACTGAAGATCAAGAGATTTGGTAATAAGGCGAGTAGACATGGTAAATGAAAGAATTAAGGAGGAGGAGCACAAGACGAAGAAGGGAAAGCCATGGTGGTTTTTGACGAGTTTTCATCCTTGTATTCTAATTGGATACATGATAGGAGGCATCCAAGTCCATCAATATATATGTAATAAATTAAGACTGAAACAGTCTGTTTCTCAAAATTATGTTTTATATTTGTTGATAACTCAAAATCATTGTGATAGACTTGGATCTTTCTTCTTCTCATGTATTCAATTCTTAATTAGCACAATACCACTATATTTCATGTTTTATCATAGAACTATTTAAACGCCTTCCACGTCGACATAATCTCTCTCTATGGCATCATTCAATATAATTCTATGTATGTAGCTTCTTCATCAGGTTCTTGGTAGGTATGAGGGTCGGCAATATCATCGTTGCTCTCAGCATCGCTACTACGATCTAGGTAGGTATGGGTGATAGTTTTCAGTTCTTGGTGGGTATGAGGGTCGGCAATATCATCGTTGCTCTGAGCATCGTTATTACGATCTAGGTAGGTACGGGTGATAGTTTTCAGTTCTTGGTGGGTATGAGGGTCGTCAGTATCATCGTTGCTCTGAGCATCGTTATTACGATCTAGGTACGTATGGGTGATAGTTTTCAGTTCTTGGTGGGTATGAGGGTCGGCAATATCATCGTTGCTCTCAGCATCGCTACTACGATCTAGGTAGGTATGGGTGATAGTTTTCAGTTCTTGGTGGGTATGAGGGTCGGCAATATCATCGTTGCTCTGAGCATCGTTATTACGATCTAGGTAGGTACGGGTGATAGTTTTCAGTTCTTGGTGGGTATGAGGGTCGTCAGTATCATCGTTGCTCTGAGCATCATTATTACGATCTAGGTAGGTATGGGTGATAGTTTTCAGTTCTTGGTGGGTATGAGGGTCGTCAGTATCATCGTTGCTCTGAGCATCATTATTACGATCTAGGTAGGTATGGGTGATAGTTTTCAGTTCTTGGTGGGTATGAGGGTCGTCAGTATTATCGTTGCTCTGAGCATCATTATTACGATCTAGGTAGGTATGGGTGATAGTATTCAGTCCTTGGTGGGTATGAGGGTCGTCAGTATCATCGTTGCTCTGAGCATCGTTATTACGATCTAGGTACGTATGGGTGATAGTTTTCAGTTCTTGGTGGGTATGAGGGTCGTCAGTATCATCGTTGCTCAGAGCCTCGTTATTACGATCTAGGTAGGTATGGGTGATAGTTTTCAGTTCTTGGTGGGTATGAGGGTCGTCAGTATCATCGTTGCTCTGAGCATCGTTATTACGATCTAGGTACGTATGGGTGATAGTTTTCAGTTCTTGGTGGGTATGAGGGTCGTCAGTATCATCGTTGCTCTGAGCATCGTTATTACGATCTAGGTAGGTATGGGTGATAGTTTTCAGTTCTTGGTGGGTATGAGGGTCGTCAGTATCATCGTTGCTCTGAGCATCGTTATTACGATCTAGGTACGTATGGGTGATAGTTTTCAGTTCTTGGTAGGTATGAGGGCCGTCAGTATCATCGTTGCTCTGAGCATCGTTATTACGATCTAGGTACGTATGGGTGATAGTTTTCAGTTCTTGGTAGGTATGAGGGCCGTCAGTATCATCGTTGCTCTGAGCATCGTTATTACGATCTAGGTACGTATGGGTGATAGTTTTCAGTTCTTGGTGGGTATGAGGGTCGTCAGTATCATCGTTGCTCTGAGCATCGTTATTACGATCTAGGTAGGTATGGGTGATAGTTTTCAGTTCTTGGTGGGTATGAGGGTCGTCAGTATCATCGTTGCTCTGAGCATCGTTATTACGATCTAGGTAGGTATGGGTGATATTATTCAGTTCTTGGTAAATATGAGGGTCGGCAGTATCATCGTTGCTCTGAGCATCGTTATTACGATCTAGGTAGGTATGGGTGATAGTTTTCAGTTCTTGGTGGGTATGAGGGTCGTCAGTATCATCGTTGCTCTGAGCATCGTTATTACGATCTAGGTAGGTATGGGTGATATTATTCAGTTCTTGGTAAATATGAGGGTCGGCAGTATCATCGTAGCTCTGATCATCGTTATTACGATCTAGGTAGGTACGGGTGATAGTATTCAGCCCTTGGTAGGTATGGACGTCTGTCTTTGCCTGATCAAATACAAGATCCTCGTACTGGGAAGACATAGTAGTGGCTGATTCATTGCTGAAAGTTAATATTATGAAAGCATAGATAAATTGCATTAATGAAATACATGGTTTGAGAAATCATCAAGCTCCAATAAAATGTCAATATGAGAGTGGAAATCGGGACGGAACTTTTGAAATACATGTCATTTACATAATAAGTATTTTAATCAGGTTCCAATAAGTTTTAAAAAGCGTTATGATTTAGAATATTTAATGATAATTCAATATCAGCTTGTATTTTCATGACCATACGGTTTGAGCCCCTTGTGGGGAGGATTATGATGAGAATGGACTGATGAGAGGGACAAGTAAGGTACAAAGTATCTCTCTAACCTTCTTCGCTTGTAAAAGATGATGATGATGATGAGAATTATAGCAATAACAATCACAAAAAAAGCACCAACAGTGCTTCCTATGACAGTTGGTATGAAACTTGAAGAACCTCCAGCTGAAGTTGTTATTGGTGGAGTATAGACAATAGGTGAAGAGGATGGTGTGGGAACTAGAATGGTAGTGAAAAGAATGATACAAATTAAAAATACCATGGCAGCATCAGACATAATTGATAACTAATAAATAAATTAGTTAGTATATGATAAGAATCAATATATGCGAAGAAACCTGTTCTGGTCGATTGAATACTAGCACAGCTAGACTTTCGATGATTCACGTGCCAGTGTGTGCGTGCGTGTTTGGGTGTGTGGTAATTGTTCAATAAATGGAAAATAATTATATTGACATTTTAATTATAAATATCTACATTATTAATTTTTCGAAATATATTTTAGCTGTTCTATTTTAAAATTTGGTTCATGATATTTCAAGCATTTCTTTAATTTCTTATAATGGCATGGTAAAAAACAAAAAGTACCATAGGGCTTACAAATAGTGAAGAAGAAAAGTGAAGTACATAGACTTAGAAAAATAAAAATAAGTAAATCGCATTAATTTACACAGGTAAGAAGTATGTTTTAAGGGATCTTTTGAAAGAGGCAAGACAGGTTAATTCTCTGATGGAAAGTGGGATATTTTTTCCAAATTGAAGTACCTTTACTTGTTCCATGGATATCTTTTTTACTACCCCACCCCACAAAAATGCAAATTTGGAGAAAACAGAGTCAGTGCTGTAGCAATTCAGTTTAAATAAATCGCTCGTTCACATCCATACCATAAAATTTATTTATTTATTTATTCATGTCTTCTTTATAAAAGCAGGGTGGTCCCATTCAAGCCGCAAGGCCTGCATTCCAAGGGAGCCCTGCTGTAACAAACAAATTACATTTCAAATATCTTACAATACACATAAAAATACACAAAATATACAATTAAAAAAACACGTAATAGGAAAAAAACAAACATAATATAAACAAACTGTAAAACATTTCATACAAATAGTAAATTTGATGAACATGGAAGAGGAGAGAGAGTAAACGAAAGAGAGAGCGAGAGAGAGAGAGAGAGAGAGGAGGTGGTAGGAATACTTCATGTAAGCGATCGCAAAATTAACTCACTTGAATTTCACGGACCTTTCGTTTAAAAATGGGTAGTGAGGCGGAACATTTGGTAAGTATGGGTAGTGAGTTGAATAACTTTGCTGCTGTGTACGAGAAGGTCTGTTTTTTAAATAGGTTCTGGGTTTGGCAAGGTACAATTGATGCATTGAAACTGGTCAAAAAGGTCAAAGTTGTACATCAAATCAATATGTTGATAGTGTAGGGTGGCCAATGGAGCATTGACTATTATATCCAGGCGTGGTCCTTTAACTCAGAGAAAATAAAATGACATGTTGACTCCTTGCTTGCCTGTGATGAACAGACCTGAGGTGTTGTACTTATCTCAACCTCAGGGGTTTAGTTTGCATATAATCTACATGCATTTGTATGACAATGGTAAATAATAGATATTCAAATAACATAATTTGCAAATGGAAAGAAGTACATGAATATACATAGGATTTTATGAATATAAATGAGTTTCTATAAATATACATTATTTTAACTGAATAATCATAAGGGCCAAACCAATCAGAGTAAAGAGAACAAATATACTAATTGGAATGTAGAGGGAATGTAAAGCATGAGAGAAAGGGTGATCATGTGATATGAAAAGTTAAGAGGGTTGAAGGTAGAGGGAGACAAATGGAGAGATGGGGAGAGGGGAAGTGTAAGATGGTTACATCAAATATTCTTGTTCAAATAAAATCTCTACCAACAATATCTCTTCTCACAAATAAAATGTCCTCATTTTACACATTATAGTGAAATGTTTTGAAAAACATTAAGAATCAAATTTTGAACATTTCTAACAGCTTCGTACCGAAATTGACATATTTAATTGATTTAGAAATTTCGAACAATTGAAGAAAAAAAATTGAATATGTCAATCGTTTCAATGATTTTGAGTACTAAAAGAATTTTGACCCTTTTCTTCTTCTTTTTAAAACAAAATTTGCCAAGTAAAATTTGAGATCTAATCTTTTTTTGTTTTTCAAATTTGATACTGTCTTTAAATATACAATAACAATCAATGTAACTATAAATTGACCGTATAGATGTATATAGAATACATGAGCAAGTATTTACAGTATACGTGTACACGGTATTTTGATTTCGCAATACATGAAAGTTACAAATGAAATTTCATGAGATCTCTATCTCAAAATCAGAGTATACACTGTATGTATTGTGCTTTCCGGACAAGACAAAAATAATTCACTGAATTTCATAAATGCTTAAATTCGTCAATACATTTTTTTAGACTACATGAATTAAATAAGCTCTTCTTTGCAAAAATTCCAATATATATAGAATAATCTAAATGACAGATAATTATACAGGCCAGAAAATTTATTGTTTCTGTACAAAAAAAATAGTAGAAAATGATTAGGCTGCAATTTTTGTTTTTTGTTTGTTTAGCATATACTGAAATATTGACACAAACTGAAATATTGTATAAAATATTGAGGTATACAAATACATATGAAATATGAAATATTGACTAAATACTCCGTACCTGCAAATTTTCAAACATTACTGAGAAAAAAACCCTTCAACAGTTCGATTTTTCATTGACAATCTGTGAAATAGAATTCAATCGAAGAATGTCTGCAACAGTCTACAGGTATATTGTTCACTTGTCACATTGAAAAAAAATTGAAAATTCCTTTAGGTGACTCATAACAATTCCTATTCCTTCCTATTGACGCTGGAATAAATTCACTGTATCGTTCAATACTTAATCGCGGATGAGAGCTGTGGGTTTAAAAAATTAAAACAAGTGTTTCAGCTTTTTCGCTATTTCCTCTATAGTTCAAATGTAACAGTGAAGTCTATTATAGCATAATATCAAGAAATATGAATTTGAAATTGTCAATGTTGTCATTTCTAAAAATCCCGAAATCTTTCTGGCATCTTAATCTTTCGTCCATAGCGCGAAGTGGTGACTCTGTCGTCTGGTGGTTTTCATTAGGTTGATGAGCTGCTAGGGAAGCGTCGTCACGTTGAACATCAGATGATGGACCTAGGGGTTGATTAGGACGATCTGCCTGTGTTAGCTGCTCATCTAGAGGGCCTGGTGTTGGCTGGTCATCTGACTGACACTGGTCAGTTATATTAGGCTTGGGGTCAACATCTCGTCTCTGTTATTGAGTAGATGGTTCTGACCGAGATTGGTAGTCAGAGTTGCCTGGCCTGGTGTTAACATGTGGTGGCTGGCTCACAGACTCTCCTGACCGTGATTGGTGGTAAGTAAAGTCTCGCTGTCGTTGAACTTCTGGCCTCAGCTGGATGGGTTGTTCTGACCATTATGGTTGGTCAGTGGAGTTTGGTTGGGGATGGATATCTGGCGTAGACGGTTCTGACCGTAGTGGTTGGTCAGTGGATGAAGGAAGATGATGATCATCAGGCATAGGAACAGATTGCTCTGACCATGATGGTTGGTCAGTATCTTTTCTCTGCTGTGGTTGAGCAGTTGACCATTCGATGAAGGAAGGCTCAAGTGGTGGTTGAGAGTTTGAAGGAGGTTGAGAGTTTGAAGGAGGTTGTGAGTTTGAAGGAGGGATGGTCGGGTGACTGCTACTTTCTCTAACAAGTTGTCGAGGAAGTCTAGATCTGAACAGCTTTAGGCGGTTATGATGTACCACCTTTTGAGTTCTCTCGTTGTGGATATCTGCTATCCGATAGTTCAGTCCATCTGCCGAGGAGGATAGAATGGAAAATGGTCCTGTCCAATTCGGATCTAGCTTGTGCCTGGCATTCGTAGGATCGTGTAGCCAAACTCAGTCACCAATATTGTACTTGATGGAACGAGTCTTCATATCATATCTTTCCTTCTGCTGCCTTTGAGCAAGTTGTGATTTCTGCCGAGCATACTGGAAATCTCCTCCTTGGTCTGCAATATATCTTGCTAACTGTTCTTTGATCATACAATTTGCTCGTTCAACTATTCCGGCTCCTTGTGGGTGATATGGTGAGGATCTGGATTTGCGAATTCCAAGTTTCTCGCAAAGCTGCTGGACTAATCTTGACTCGAATTGGCGTCCTTGGTCTGTGTGTAGAGTTTCTGGCACACCATGTTCTGTGACATAGTCTTCAAAGATATGTTTGGCAACAATCTGCGCAGTCTGGTTTTTCATGGGGTATATGTTCCCGCATATTTGCTGAAATGATCTATGATGACTAGAATGTATTTGTATCCATGGCGAGAAATGGGGAGTTCAGCAATATCAGCAAATACCATCTGAAGAGGGTGATTGGTAGTGATACTGCGTAATAGAGCTTGGTGTTTTGGGTTGGGGAACGGAAAGACTCACAGGCCGCACATGTCTGACAGTGATTGGCGATGTCATGGTGCATAAAGGGCCAATAACATGTGGCTGCCGTTCGATGAATCATGCGTTGTGGTCCAAAGTGTCCAGATGATGGATGACCATGGAGTTGACTTGAGAGATGAATTGTTCTGGTATGACTAGTTGGAGTATTTCTGCACCAAGTTTGTTG